GAAACAATTGGCCGCTGGACACCCTTTGTCTCCCCGAACTCCAATCTCTTAGAGAACTATCACTCAACAGCTATCTCCAGCTCGTGTATCGTCTCTCCAGCCCGTATCTCTCTCACCCCGAGTCGATTCTGTTCAGCGCCGCTTCACGGTCTCCCCGACCGTTTCCATCGCCCTTGAAGCCGACAGCACCGAGTCCCCCCAGATCTTCATCGACGCCTCCACGGGCCAGCAAACCGTCTTCATGACGTGGGCGACCACTGAGCCTTGCCCCGGGTACGCGGTCGCCAGCGAACCGGTCGGTGACTTGAGCCCGGGTTCTTTCAACGTGGACGGAGCCCAGGTTGTGAACTTTAGAAGGGACGTTTCGGCGGGGGGGCCGCGAAGAAGGGCGCTTTTGCAGGCGACGGCGCAGGGGGCAAACTCGTCCGGAGCGGTCGGATACAGCTTTCAGGTGGGAGTAAAAAATCTGATTGAGAGCGGGTTTTGGTCGTCCCGTAACGCTTGGAGATCGGGAATGTCGCTTCTGCGACAGATTGAGCTGGGCATGATTTGTCGAGCGGCGCGAAGCTTTAATCGGCCCAATTGAGCCAGACGAGCACCATACTTTGGTGTTTTCAAAGCGATCTGTTCATTCCTCCAGCTCTCAAAATGAAATCGTGCTGAGACAAATTAGCTATTTGCGTCAGGATTGCCACCGGCTTCCCATATTTTTGAACCCGATGGCGGATTTGACGCAACGCGGAGCTGTAAATATGTTGCGGTTTGTTACGGAGTCGGAATCAAATCATGCTCTAGGGATATAACGGGTTCTCAAAGTCACTCGATCAATTCTTTCTCAAGAAACTACCTTCCTGGATCCGAGAATCAGGTGCTCTAGGCTCGGATCGATTGTGAGCTGCTTATAAGCTGCTTTTGCTTCAAGCTTTTACTTTAGCTGGAACAAGGCCGGAACAAAATCACCATGTCTTTTCCTCTATTTAATTGCGATTGCAATAGCCGCGTGGCTCTTACTTCTTCAAACCCATCGTTTTTGAAAAGGCGGGGCGACTTGCACTCGCCCGGGCCTACGCTAGCATGGCACCCGCCGGGTTGACACTTTCAGTGTCCCGACTCGGAGTACTTGGAGTCTACACATCATTTCCTGATGTTGCTCTGACTTTCAATTGAAGCACTAAAAGTGTTCAAAAATATGCGTTCAGAATCGATGTCCCGGTTCTTCCAGGTAGTACCGACCGGTTCCGGACCACAGCTGTTGAGGATGGCGGTCAACCCAGGGAACGTTTTCGACCAGGCGGGGAGCCCTATCCGATTGACGTTGGAATCGTCATATGTCATTTACTACGGCAAGTACTTTTCTGCTCTCTTCTGGCATGCATTGATGGAGATTTGTGGGAATCGTTTCGGAAACTTGCCCGGAAGTACGAAAGAAAGAATCAGAGGAACGGGGCTTTCTCGAGGCTCGAGCAACGCGGCCCTCCTCGAAAGATTTCAGGAAAGAAACCGTCTCTGAAATCCTCTCTCCATTTCGCTTTTCCAGACGTTCTGCCGAAGTATTCCAATATAACCGTTGTCAAATGCCATTAAGGCCCTGAACCTCGACCCTCAGAAAATTTCTCGTTTCTCCTTTTCGAGAATATAAGGGCACGAGGGTGCCGAGTTGTGTACCTTCGGCGGGCGTCCCATGCTCCACAACTAATTTCTCGGGCCCCTTCGAAAGTCAGCTGAGGTGTTCGGGCGACAAGAAACGCTGCACGCGCGTGTCTCCGTCGCCGCTTCCGGCTGCGTCCTCTCACGTCATACTCTGCTGATTACATCTGTACTCCACGTTTGCAGACACTGTTCCCCCGAGCGCCCTCCTACAACTGGTGAACAAGGATCCCAGGGGTTTGGTGTCACTTAGCGGCGACAAGAAAGCATGCCTACGTGCTTTCCGGTCGCTGCATACCACTGATTTTCCACTTGCTCCATTACGGTGCAGACACTGTTCCCCCGAGCGCCCTCCTGCAATTGGTGAACAAGGATCTCAGTGCTGTGGTGACACTTAGCGGCGACGAGAAAAACCTGCATACGTGCTATTTGGGCGCCGCATATGGCTGCTTCCGCTGATTTATCTTTTGCTGCTTTCTTGCAGACACCGTTCCCCCGAGCGCCCTCTTGCAATTGGTAACCAAGGATCCGAACGGTGTGGTTTCGCTGTCAAGTGACCCGGGACTTTCCCCCGACCAGGTCGTAACGCTGATGGTGTCGTTCGACAAGCGCGTTTCTGGGTTCGATGGGAACACGATGGTTATCAGCAACGGCACGCTTATCAAGTAAGTGCAAAAGTGCAAATCCGGCGAATTGCAGTTGAGGATGATAGTCAGCATGTATTTATCTGGGGTATGACTTTGAAATTGTCCTGAAGAAGACCGCTGTCGGTGAAAAGACGCTTGAAAGATATACGAGATGATATAGTGGGATAAGCGCAGAAGAAGCGAAGAACTGGGTCTGCAGATTCCACCAAGATTCCCCGGTTCTGGACAGGTTAAGCAGTCCGTGTGCCGATTCCGTCTTTTTCATGAGGAGCAGATGTCTCACTTAACCTCGAAAGATTTCCCACCCTTGTCAGAAATGATTCGGACTGTGCCTTGCTAATTGGAAATGTCAGCTTCAAATGTTACCCCAAGCAATCATTCTCGCAATGAGCCAATCTGAGCTGCGCTGGCCTTTAGGCGGACGACTTCTGCGTACACACTGATCGGCGCCCGGCTTCGATCGTTGCATCCTTGAAAGTATTTGCTTCTTTAACACTAGATCGAAGAATGCAAAAGTCGACGCTTAAACACAGCTTTACCGAGGCTTTCGTACGTCCGCGTTTTGCAGGGCCGGTCCGAATGCGGACGCCCCGGACGGCTTTTCGTACGTCCTCACAGTGGCGATCGTTCCAAAGGCCAACCTCGTGATCCAAGCCCCCGCGAACATCGCTTACAGCATCGTCGGGCTCGGGAACACGGCGTCCAATCAGCTGCAAGTGCTCAACTGTAAGCAAACTTTTTTTGCCGACCGGAGGGCGCCCTGGCCGCTTGTTTTCTGCTAGCAACTCTAATTCTTACGAAGGCGGCCTCCAAACAGAGCAAGTGCTCAGAACTGAGCATAAGTTTTCGCCCATGAGATAAACGCCACGTGTCCAAGTTTTTGCCGTCTCCGAGGTCACTGTTACCGGACCGCGCAGCAAAAATCTCTGCGGCAGGTCACACAGCTTGTATTGCGCTTTACTGCATGTATTGTTACAGAATGTTCCTTCACGTTACCTTTAAGGGCAGGGGGTAAAAGTAATTTAGTGCTTGAATTATAAGCTGGTGGCAAACGTATGCGCAGCTTGCCGCTTTACTCTCGTGCCTCAGAACGAGATTTCCTGTTTCATCCCTGTCCAACTGATTGACGTGTTGAATGGCAGCCATACATTTCAAAGAGCTCGTCAATCCTTGCAGACTTTCTGCAGAAGCTTCAAACTTCAGAAATTGGGCAATCCACGTGTAGGCTGGAAAGTCAACAGCTTGACGTTGCTTGTCAGCAGGCTAACAGTCCCATACGTTCAACAGAACCTCACCTCTAAGTAGCTTGAAGTCAGCACGCCGTGTATGGGAACCTGTAGCAGGTTTCTCTTAAGTTCCAGGCTTCAGCCAGTCTCTCGTGAATATTTTCAAAAAGCCAGACCTTGTGGTTCTCTTTTTTGGCAACTGAGCTAGCTATTCTGCAGATGACGTCAATGAGAATATTCAAACGGGCGTACGGACAGCGGCGATCGCGTCTCTGGCGGTCGTGGCAACGGGCGCTATCCTGCAGACATCTTCGAGCTTATTCATTGTCAGTGAGCCCAGAAATTTGGAGCGGTGAATGTGAAGCCGGTGGAAAGCTCATGCGCCGCTCTAGTGGGCGAGAGCCCAACTTGCCGTATACGTGTATTGGGGCGTCGAATTACCTGTGGAAAGGCAGAACACTTTGTACCTTTTCTCCAGAAGCTGCTGCTTACGGTCGCTCTTGACGGCGTGGACACGCCTGTGGAAAGACAGAACACATTATACCTATTCTTCAGAAGCGGCTGCTTACGGTTGCTCTTGACTCATCTCCACTGCAAGAGCGAGTCGAGTCCATGAAGAGAGTCACCAATGCCATGTTATCGTTTTCAGAAATAGGAACCCCTGGAATAGCAGACTCCTCGATGTGGCGCAACCTACCAGACGTACTCTTGCACGCATCTCTGCGAGGTTCAGTGTGTGCCCTTTTGGAGATTTGGCGCAGACATGCCAGCCTGAAACTTTCCAATGATGATCCATACTAAATCTTCGATCAGTAACTAGAGGACTCATTATTAGCAATATATTGTGTCTCTCGAGCTCCCTGCATACCAAGTCTCCCTTCTGCTAAAACCGGCTCGCGAAAGACTCATGCAGAAGCTTGATTTCGACTTTAGCCAATTTGCTAGGTTAGAACTACAATATTGCACTCTCCCAAGGCATCAAAATTTGAAAACCATATTGGAGCGTCTCTGCAGAATGTCGCTTCCAGCCTTATCCTGTTTGCCGCGCGCCGGAGCCTCAACGCCCCGCTTCCGACCCCTTACATCGACGCCAGTTCCGCTCTCTCCTTCCCCCTGTTCCGCTGGCCATCCCCTTTCGACGGAATCACTCGCGACAGCCCCATCCCCTATACGGACCGCCCACAAGCGCTCATCTCTAGCATTCCGTCCGGCGGAACGAACGGAACGCTAGCCGCCACAAGCGAGCGGCTCGGCCGGCTGCTGCTCCAGGCGCAACCAGAAATTCAAATCAACGGAACGGCTACCAGCGGAACGCCGATTAACGGAACGTTGACCAGCGGAACCTCTGTATTTGTCCCTTTCAACGGATCCTTTCCGGCCGTTCCGGTCAATCCGACACCCATCAGCGGAACCATTCCGGCGAATACGTCGCTGATTAATCAGGCTCGTCCCGTGACCTTTAGAGATGGGAACATTTCGTACGAGGCGCGCGCTGACGCGTACAGCCAAGAGCTGAGTGTGAATACGCTCAACCTGTTTCATACTTTGGGCCATAACGGGTGAGGGAAAAGATGCGACGGGCGATCGCACCTGTATTTGGCGCTCGTATAGTTGCAAGGCCGTTGAGAAGCTCAGCTATCTTAGATGATTCCCAGTTCCTTCGCACGCGTGCCTAATCCGACTGCCCCATCAAAGCAAGTTGCCTCTAGAAAAGGATCTTGAGGTCCAAATCCGCAAATTGGGGGGTCTTGGTCAAGCCCTGTTTTGCAATTGTCCCCTCTTTCCAGCTTTCCGGATTGAGATATGTTCACACTCGCCAAAAAATGCTCCACTCTGCACGTCTGATTCTTTCCCGGAAGCAAAAGGATACCATACAATACGTGCTGTGGCCAGTTTGTCAAGTTTCTGCATTAGAAATTATACTAAATGATACTTTAGATTGAAGCTAGTCGTTCCCATCTTTTGCAGGCTGCGCGGTCTTCTCCGGGCCGTGTTTTGGATCACCGTGACCCTGCTCTTCATCGGGTTTCTCCAGCTGTCCGCGAAACCGCTGGCGCGGCTCCTGAAACGAGAAACGGTCCCCTCGTTCCTGGTGTTTCCAGCCTTAGAGCTGACCTTTTTCTCCGTTGCTATCGTGGCGCTGACCTATGCCGCAATGGGAGCGCTCGTTGGTGAGCAAGGAAACATGTTATGGAATACGAAGTTCGAAAACTTGTCACTACCAAGTTTTAGAAGGGAACAGAACCGGTTGCCCGTGAGAGTGTCTTCAAATCACCAGGGGTAATCTTCAGAAAGCTACCAAAGAAGGCTTTTCCTGCGATCTCTTTCCAAGTGGAACCTAATCAGCGCTTCATCTCAAGAACACGATGAGATCTGGGAATAGCTCTTACTTCTAGAGTTTTATCCGACACTAGGTCAATCAACATACTGCTCGTTTTGGGCTGGAGCTAAAGTCGAGTTGCTCATTTTCCGTGCAGGTAAATCGGCAGCGGGCATCGTGCTGGGCATGGCCGTTCTGCTCCTCATCCTAGTCTTTTTCTTGTTCGTGCTGTCAATCCTGTGGCGCCACGTGGTCATGGTGAGAGCTCTTGCCCCTGCACCCACTTCGTATGCTTCTCTATCCTTGAAGCTATGAATGGAATTGTAAACTTTGTTGAAGCAAAAACCTGGATCCAAAAGAGGAACCCTCTTCGAACTCCGAAGGTGTTGATTTACATAGGCTCGCTTGACAGTCGCTCTGACTCCGCTCTGTTTCCGGGCCATCAAAACATTCTGACGTCAGAACCGTGGAACCCGCTCGTTGTTTTTTTTACTTTGTAAAGGATAAAAAGGTGCTCCAGCCTTTGGTATCAAATCCCGCGAACAGCCTTTCGATCACCCTTCTTCGATTCCCACTCGCTCAACATCTTCACTGGCAGAACCCCATCGCGCTCTCTCCCTCTTAAAACAATTTCCATGTTTTCCTGAACCCAAACGGTTTCTTAGCCTACTCTGACAACATTCAGACACAGACTTCAGTCACCCGAATGTGTCCAGCTCATCTTTCAAAGTCGATGCCCAATCCGATCATTGTTAGACCTTCCGAGCCCCTTCCAGGGTCCAAAAGCTTAAATCTTTACGATTACAAGAAGGCCATACTAAAGTGTCACGCCCTCCTCTCTCCTCCAGAGCAAGTCGGTGCTTTCGTCTCCGAGCAACAACGTTCCGGCAGGGGGTCCCTCGGGGCCTGGTTCAGAGCCCCCTTCGTCGGTTCCTGGGAACCGGTAGACTCCGCAGAAGGCGACCTCTTCCGGGCGAAGTACGGGTACTTTTACGCCGACTACTCCGGTCGCCCCTCCGAACTGGTGAACATCGGCCCGCAGCTGATGCGGTCGCCGACCCGGAAGGGCGCCCCGACCACTCTGTCCTCCAGGACGCTCTCCCGAAGGAGCGGTTCGTGGTCCCCGGCCGTCGATGCTCTTTTGGAACCCAACCCGGAGGAAGGCTCCGCTGTTCCGCTCACCAGTGAGTCCGCCCGGGTTCCGCAAGCGGAAAAGGACGCCTCGATCACCGGACCCGCCGTCGTCGAGATTGAGGAGGAGGAGAAGCGCGTCGTCCAGTTCACACCGGCGGAGACGGATGACGTCACCTTCGCGTCAGCGGAGGAGCCCCTTGACAAGAGACCCACGTCAGCGAAGTGGGAGGCGCCGCTCGAGTCCGCGCCTGGGAAAGCGCCCGGGAAACTCGCCCGGGCGCAAAGCGTGCGGTCGGTTCACCGGGTCGGAAGAGTGGGACCCGCGGCGCACCTCCGGCCGGCGTGGAAACTCATGTACCTTCTGGTGGTCGTAAGTGGTTTGGTTTTTCAGTGTTTTAGGTCTTGATTGTAATATGAGTTTAGGTTATGTTAAAGCAGGTTACTCCCCAAGGAACGGGCCGGATGCGGTTTTGAATGCTTCGGCGGGTGGAACTTGGCATACGTACGGGTGCGGAGCCTGTTTGCGTCTGGTTTGGATCCTATTTATTCAAAGCTCGGAGCATTAACCTGGCCCATTTAAAGGAAATTCAAAATGCGTGGTGGTGCGACGCCCGGGCGGGAAACGAGTCTGGGCTTGATATGTTTCGGTTCGTTTTATTATATGCCCACCAGTCCATTTTTCTGGAGACGGTTCGAAAACATTGTCCAGCTTCACAGGTCCGGTGATCCGAAATACAGGTGCTTGAGCGACTTCAGAATCTTCGACCACATACTAGCCGTTCCGGATTCAAGATGCATGTATTTCTTGCACAGCTAGATTGGGAAGAAGTGCAGGCTCCAATGGCTGACACTAGAGTGCCGCCGGTTTGCTATTGTATCTCTTTTTTTTTGACCAAGTCCGTGCCCATAAACTTTCTGTGTTCGTGTCATCACCATAAGACAAACACTAGCCTTGTCCGATCTGGGAGGCAGCAATCGAAGAATCTCTTTTGAGTCAGAAGCAACCCAGCATCCTCAGCAATATCATTGACTTTACCCCGATTGAACGGCTAATCCTAAATCGTCCCAATTTTGCCTGCAGGTTATCGAAGCGGCTCTGCTGGGCGCGACTCACGGCGTGCGCGCGTCTTACTGGCAGGTCTGCCTCATCGTCACCATGCGCGGCTTTCTCGTACGTCATCGTGCTTCTCTTCCTCAAGGTGACGTCACAACCGTCAACCCCGATCGCTTCGACATCCGATTTTATGTGCGATGAGCTCTCTGTCTGGGCAAGCGGCCATTTCTGACGGTTCCTCTTGCCGAGTCGTCAGTACCGTTGACTTCCAACTTCTCTGCGATTGATTCGGAGAGTCCGGGGGACGAAGCTTTTATTTGATTCCCCTTTTCAAAGAACCGGTAGCTGTCAGCGTGATCCGTCGGGAATAGCTCAAGAATTACTGGTAGTCTTTTCTGCGGCCCGCCGAACTCCATCTAATCGAAATCACAGATAGCTTTTTAGGTGCTTCTCGTGCTAGTAGCCAGAGTGAAGCCTCTTGCTTAACTAACAAAGGTGTTTTTATACGAACCGAAAAAGCTGCGCAGAGAGCTTGACATCTGAAACTTGACTTCTGACTCTTAAGCTACTAGTACTCTCGAACGAGGGCCCCAGATCCTTGATCGATTCCCGCACCTTCAACTCTCGTGATCGAGCTTGATCTGGACACAGGGAATAGGAGCTCTCAACCTTCTGTTACGAAACCTCCTAAAATCAAAGAGTTTCGCCCCTGAAATCCGGCCCGTGCAGCCCGTCATCTACACGTCTTCCCGTGGCCCCAGCTAGCGAAATACCTCTTTATACTGCACGAAGCACAATATTGTCAGGCTTGTGGCATGCTCTCGACTTCCAAAGCGGTTTTCAAGGCTGCCCAAAAGTCAGCCAACTGTTCTTCTACACAAATAAACATAGTGATATGGGCTGTAAAGAGTCCGTTCTCTCAATGGTCCGTGTGCTCAGTCACCGTTACGGCATTTTGAGTCTACTTGTCACGTTGACATAGAGGAGACACAAGAGATCTCGACACTGTCGGACACACAAACAGAACATCTTCCGTCATTGCCGATTTCGCTCCCGCCGCAGCCATTCATTCGCGCACCACTCCAGCTGGCCGAGGTCTTCAGCACGGTGTCCGAGCTTGCTGTTGTCACGCTGGCGTTGGCGCTCGTGGTGAAGCAGGACGTCAGCCCGCAGGGGCAGCTGCGCAAAAACGAGGAAGCGCTGGGCTACACAATGATCGCGCTGCAGCTGCTGGCCATCTTCAGCGGCGTACTCAACGCGTGAGCGCGCGCGCGCACGCGCGCCCGCCTTCTTCCTTTCCCTATTTATATTCGTCGCATAACGAAAGTATTGTTCGCTCATACTTGCTGGTTACCCATCCTTGTTGGAAAGTCCCAAGAAGATCAATATTCTCCGCATATCCTCTGGGGCGTATGCAGGGCGTGAGCACGCGCGCGTGCGTTCCGCCTTTTACGTACGATTCTTGTCTTTCGTTTTTTCGGGGACGCTCTTCCTTTGAAATTAACGCTCGGGGCTGCTCCTGGGCGGCCACAGGAGCTTTTGGCCCTAAACCACAAATGGTTGTGGGCTAATTATGGCTGGTCAGAGAATGGTTATATGTCCAATAACCAGACCTGGGCTTTAACCAGCCCCGGAACAAGGTCAAATCCGGGTTACTAGTCCAACAACCTGAGACTCAATCTGTTAATCAGCGTAATTGTCAGAAGCCAAAAAAGTTGCTGTGGGCATTGCATGCGCGGTCGCATAGACGCGCGATCAAGTTCGCGGGTTGGAGACATCTGTTTCACCAGCATACCAGAGAGGCATATCTACGCTTTGTAGTTGGAGCCACTTTTCGGCACGCTCAGTTCGGATCTGCTCGATATTTATTTCCGTTTGAAGGGTTCTTGATTACTGAAATAATGTCCAATTCCGCAGGACGGAAGTGGACTGTCTAACAGCGGATGCACTGGAGGGACGAAGGATTCAAAACCACAGCTTCAGATGCGTTTCAGTACTCCGCTGACAGCTTAATCCGTTGTGACTGACAGAAACAATTTTCGTGCTTTATGCGCAGGCTCGTCTCCGTGACACTGAGGCTCGTGGGGAACTTGTGGGGCAAGAAGGAAGCGCTTCCGGTGCACTTTTAGTCAGTCAGGGCGGTCCAACACTCGGCCAAAAGCTGGGCGCTTCAGTAGACGTAGAGTCGGTCTTGGAATCACTCATTGTGGCATGGTCTCGTTTGAGATACTCAAGTTAAGGGCTTGCACCTCTGGTATTTGGATTGGGATTGCATTTTGCAGTCAAATGGAAAGCTATCTGCAACAGAGAGTTTCCGAATACTGATGTTTGTAGGAGCGTAAGGTCACAATAACGTGGTGCCTCGCGTCTTTGTGTGAAATTGCCTGTGGAGCAATATCAGCACCCCGGGTAAGGAAACCGCCCTACGGGTGAGGGGAGAGTCATGTAGGCGGGTTCGTCGGGGTGCCTATAGCTAACAGGCGGGCCGAGCACAACACTGTTCTGAAAGTAACGGTGCTCTGTTATTAAGCTTGAAATTAGTTGACCCTCCAGAAAGGGATTGACAAGACGCCCGAATCTCAAAGCCCTTTTGGATCAATGAGCAAAGTCAGGGTGTATTAAGTAGTCGGCTTTGTAAGTGCTACTTGCACGTACT